GGGTGTGCGTGCACACGCGCATGTGTCTGCACGCATGTATGTGTGTGGTGTGTACACACCTCCAAGTTGCCTTCCTGCCCTCGTGTACTGCTCCAAAGCCCTGAGGGGATATCAGCATTGCAGAGCTTAGAAACATGACTTTTTTTGAGCTCCAGTTTCTCTGCCATGTGAATGGGGAGATTATTATTTTGTCGCTTTCATTATTATGAACAATACTGCCATTTTAGTGCTCTATTTAAATCATACTGTATCTAATAACTTTGTAAAGATTCCCAGAATATCCAGTCCAAGATGGTCATTGGCCATCTTGGCTGGACTATTCTGCCAGCAGTACTCCAGAACAGGAAAATCTCCAAATTCTGTTAACAACAGCAATACGGTGACACTGCCATCTGGCAAATTCAGGTGAGAGAATATTGATAGGCAGGGGAGGAATGGCCCAGTTCTAGTAGAGAAGTAGAGCTTCCAAATGTGTTAGGTCCACAGCAGCTTCCTGGTTCTAGTAACAATCAGAGGCATGTAATTCATGGAGGTAAATTGAGCTTTTTTTATGATGTGTGCCTGCAATATCCATCTTCAATCCATGTCTGGTAAAGTTCCTGGATAGTTTTCCCTTTTGTTGTTGTTTAGTTGTTAATTCGTGTCCAACTCTTTGTGACCCCATGGACCAGAGCACGCCAGGCTCTCCTGTCTTCCACTGCCAGAGTTGGGTCAAATTCCTGTTGGTAGCGTCGATGACACTGTCCAACCATCTCATCCTCTATTGTCCCCTTCTCCTCTTGCCTTCACACTTTCCTACCATCAGGTCTTTTACAGGGAGTCTTCTCTTCTCATGAGATGGCTTCAGGTGAGCACTCAGGGTTAATTTCCTTCAAAATGGATAGGTTTGTTCTCCTTGCAGTCCAGGGGACTCTCAAGAGTCTCCTCCAGCACCACAATTCAAAAGCATCAATTCTTCAGCAGTCAGCCTTCTTTATGGTCCAGCTCTCACTTCCATACATCACTACTGAAAAACCCATACTGTAGCTTTGATTATGCAGACCTTTGTCAGCAAGGTGATGTCTCTGCTTTTTAAGATGCTGTCTAGGTTTGTCATCACTTTCCTCCCAAGAAGCAGGCATCTTTTAATTTTGTGGCTGCTGTCACCATCTGCAGTTTTCCCTAAGAACTGACTATGTCTCCCTGGAGTGGTCTATGGAGACGGTGTAGAACAGAAAGTAGATCTAGTTCTATCAGGAGATCTCAAAATGATTTATAGAAAATGATAGAAATTTTGACTGTTATTTATGTGGGTTGTTTTTTTTAAAAAAAAGAATGTATTGCTAAAATGTTAACAGAAAAGCAACTCCCACACTAAAGCATACCATTGAAAATATTCAGGGTTACTGAAAGTGGATTTTTACATAGAAGGACTTCACGTTCTGTTCAGGTTTGGCAGTCGGTCAACTGAGTGTGCCTGAGCAGGGTTTTAGAACCAAAGAATTCTGATCCCAGGGATTTAAGCAGAGTGTACTCAAAACAAATCCATGTACTCAGAATTCTTTGGGTTCTAAAGCCTTATTCAGGCATTCAGAAAAGGGTTAATTTCAAAGCATGAGCAGAGAGACAGTTCTAGCCCTGCTCATGTTTGATGCTTCAGCTACACATGGAGCCTCTGCATGTGATCAAGAACCCTGATTTTTGTAAGAGAAGGGCATATAATCTGAAACATTCTTATCAAAATGCCTCTAAAATGCTTCATATGTCCCTCAAAAATCACTTTTAAAAATAACGACAACTTTGCTTGCTATATTAAAAGAATAACTTTGTTGCTACTAATTATGGGATTTTCAAAATGCATCTTTGCTATATTCCCTATTCCCCCAAAAAGTAACCAATAGCAATTAACTATGTAAGGGCACAAACACAAATAAGTTTATGCAGACTTCTCCATATCACACCATGGCATTTAAATCACTACTGCTATCACACAAAAATGTTTAAACCAGGAAAGTGTGTTTCAGGTGTTTACACATCACATAGACACCCTTCTCCCTCATCCTTCTCTGTCATTATCACAACTCTCCTAGGCTCACAACACTTTGTTGAATCTTTTAGCCAGTGTTCAAATCCATCCTTTCTTCTTCTTCTAATGTTTAGCTAGTGAAATAGCACTGAAGTCACGAGACATAGTAAGCATTTAGTACTAAATTTATGGTGCAAAACCAAGAGGGAGAAAAAATAGAAATAAAATTTACAAATCGCATTGCAGCTGCAGTCCTTACCTAAAGATCAGATCTACTTGTGTTTAACATTAACGTCATGTAGTCGACAGAAAAATATCAAAAGCAACAGTCAGAAGCACAGCCCAAACAGTGGGACAAGCACCCATGTTGTCTCTCCCTCACTTGCCGTCTGTTACTTCCAAGTAACTGCTCAGAATATGAAATAGAATTCTCTAACAAAACCAGGAGCTCCTCCTTGCCCAGCTGCAGTCTATGTAAAGACTCCACTTAGAGTAGAAAGCTGGAAAGCCAAGTGTTTTAACTCATTCTTCTTTCCATGTTCTCTTTAGGTACATCTTCTGGAAAAGGCTGTCCCAGAACCAAACGAGTGATCGAATCCAAGAGACCACTGACCACCTCCCCAGCCATGGCTCAGCAAGAGCCTGCTTGTTGATGTGTTGATGTGTTGCTGCAATAAAAGTTTCTTAAACCCTCTGTCATGCAAAAGAAGCTACTTGGTGATGCCCTCCCCTTGACTTTGGAAATGCTTCATAGGCCAGACTTCCTAAGGGGTGCTGGAACTTGTAGTCTAAAAATCTAACTACTTCTAAACTCTGCTACACACACACACACACAGAGAGAGAGAGAGAGAGAGAGAGAGAGAGAGAGAGAGAGAGAGAAATATCCTTCCTTCCTTTCAAAAGTTCCCAAGCTGTGCCGTTGGCCCATCTGAAACCCCTCTCTCACAGTCTTCAGCCATTCAACTTTAAAATGGAAGAAAGCAACATAAAACCAAACTAGATCACTGGAAAGGATAGACATCCTACTTGTGTAACAACATCAGGGGACTTGAACCTCCATCCCTGGCTGACTAGAATAGCTCATGGCTAGTCATGATATCTATTGTACAGCAGCAGCAGCACCATACAATGGCTACTGCAAATTCTAAGTCCAGCTGGAGAAAGATGCTTACAACCAGTAGAGCAAAAGTGCCTAATTTCTCTCCAAGGCAGAGGAATTCAACTTATCCATTGGGGCAAATGGGTCCTGCCCCTTCTCAGGCTACCTCTAGCCAAACCATTCCTGCCCTCTTGCTTGTATTGATTGATTGATTGATTGATTGATTGATTGATTGATTGATTGATTGATTGATTTGATTTGATTTGATTGATTGATTTGATTTGATTTGATTTGATTTGATTTGTATCCTGCCCATCTGGTCTATATGACCACTAATGCTCAGAGGATAAGGGCACTGCCTATTTTCTCTCCCTGCCGTTGTATATATGTGAATGCTTGCTTGCCTACCATTTTGGCTCCTGTCACTCCTGGTTCTAACTACCTATGATGTGTGCCTGCTGTCCAACCAGCCACACTAAGTACCTGCTGCCACTGTCCCAAGGGCACTCCCTCCACCATCTTCTTTCACAGTGATAGTTTTTTTTCCCCCTCACTGATAGAAGCAGTAGGGGGAAACATTGCTGTATGAAATCAGCATAAAATCAGGGTGTGTGGATGGGAGGATTTGACACCACAGGAGTTACTGCTTAGGTCTTAAGGGGATACAATGTAGCTCATAAATCTCAGATTGTGCACTTCTGGTGTCCACGATTTGAGCAACAGGGAAGAAAAATGTAATAAATACCATCATTTATTCTCTTTGTAAATCTAATGAAAGACAGAAAATAGCAGGCACACCTTGTCTGTTAAAGACCTCTTCCTTTATTCTTCTACCCTAGATAAAACGAGGGCTCCTGGTGAGTAAAGGTGTAAGGAAGCTAACCAACCTCAATCAAAGGATCATCCTACATTTAACTGTCCTTACAAAGCCCCTCTCTCATTACTGACCAACAGATTAGTAATTTTACAGGAGTATTTAAATGTGTTTTGTAACTGTGTGTATGTGTGTGACTACATGGACAAATAATGCAGGAAATGTTCCAGAATTAGGGACAGTCAGATTTGTATTATTTTTCATTGACTACATGATGTGCAAGTCAATGTGAATCAGTCCCCTCCTAATCTGTACCTTTCCCCCCTGATGCTGGGGCTTCTACTTTTTTTTCCAGTCAAAAGCATTTGAATTGTTTGAGACTGTTTGATCACTTGAGCCAATGCAGCTTCAAGGTTAAATGGGCAACCAGAAGCTAACTTGTCCAGCTTCCTAATTCAAGGTAAGGAGAAAGGAAGCAAGGGGGCATTCACAGATGGAGGGGGGGTTAGTTCCTCTCAACTGAGCGCCCCTTGTCTCCAAATCATATGTTTAAGGTTTAGTGCACTAGAGCACTTAGGAGACCAAAAGGAGAGAGAGAGAGAACATGAGAGAGAAGGAAACTGGCAATCATCCTTTACAAGTCCATTTGCTTTATTTGAGCAGACAGCAGTCAGGGTAGAGGAAACTGGCAATGAGTCCCAATTTGCAGCTTTTTAAGGTAGCACCACTGTAGACATGCCACCTACAGATCTGGATGGCTACAGTAGAGCTGCCTTCACAAGCTGCAAACAAGGGATAGCTGCCAATTTCCTCCTTTCTTTTTCTTCTGAATCATGTGTGTGATCAGCTAAAGTGAATTTACCTGGGGTAATCAAACTTCCTAGGTATGATTTCACAGAGGATCTATTCACATTTTCTCCACTGTGTAGTCACACCCTGAAACTACTTGCACCTGCCTCTCCAAATCTGAACTCCAGCACCTTTCTCTCCTGTGTCTAACACATGCACACACTCACAATAATGAACAGAGATAATCTGCATATCACTGGCTTTCTATCTTAGCCTGAGCTGGTATTATGGTTGTCTGGCCAATTTTGAGAAGTTGGCTTCCGTACTTTGCTCATGCTTTGAGTTTCACTGAAGTAAATAGACATGAAGGCTTTCATGGCCCAGCTAAGAAATCATGACACTGACCTGTGCAGCAAAGAATCATTTCACCTCATATATACATACACTCATGAGCTATCCTGGCTTGTATTCAGATGATTCTTCCCTTGATATGATATTCATAGTAGCATACCTAAATGAAAAACTATAGAAAGAGGAAGTAACCCAATTTTGCATATTTCAGTTTGTTTGCACTGAAATAAGCCTGTTGGAATGAACCCAGTTTGCAAAGAAGGTTGGAGGCAGCAGTTCACCTTTCTCTTACTGCCTCTGGGCCACCCTACTTCTGAATTTGGGCACTTTCATATAGTCATCCTCATTAACAGATGATCCAGTAGGGGTTGGGTAAGTGGGTGGGTTACCTGTCTGTCATGGGTTTGGAGGGAAAGTTCCATCCTATGGGGAGTGGAAGGCAGGACATCAGGAGGAGGGGCTGTACTGTATATATATGTGGAGCTTGTGTGGAGAAGTCAGAGAGCTGAGAGGAGAGCTGAGAGAAGAAGCTTGAGTGGGAGTCTGTGTGTCAGACAGGGTACTACTGTGTGTCAGTCAGTACCAACCTGATAGGTTCAGGTGTCTGTAGGGTTAGCCAGAACTGATAGGTTCAGGGTCTGTGCTTTAGTTAAATGCGTTCTGTGTGAACCAAACTAGTGTATGTATGATTGAGACTAAGCCACGTTACTGTATCTTATTCATTTGATCATTTTATTTTCCCTGTGTGTTATGTAAATAAACCTTGTTCTTTTATTTGTTAAAAATCCATCCCTGGTCTGTGTGACTTCTTATAGGGAATGGTTGGTGGCAGCTTAGTGAAACTGTGGCATATCCCAGTAGGTCTGGGGTTGTCACAGGTGGGTTTGGAAATCTGTGATGCATAATTCACCAAATCTATAGCTGGGCTTGTATGAGCAAAACCCAAGATCAGAGGGAAGGCAGGTGGCTGAGAAGGCAGCATGCTGGTCCCAGTAACGGCATGTTGAGAGAAGAGACAACTTTGGATCAATGGAGCTGAAGCCTCCTTTGACTCACCCCTACAACAGACCCTTTGTGCTCCCACAGCCATTGGGAGTACCAAAAAGAACCAGCAGCAAAGGCTTGCATATCTGCAACAGGGAGTCTTGCAAGGCTGTTCACCTTGTTTGCACAAAGATAGCAGAGGAGGTTAATGCTATCTTAGGGCCACAGATGCCTTCCATTAGATCCTGATAGACAGAGAGACATCCATCCCCCATAAATGTTTCTAATCCCCACTCAAAGGCATGTAACTAATAGTCACTGCCTCTTTTTGTAGCCAGTGATAAAGTGGCAAATTTGGAAATGCCTATTCTGAAAATCCTCCACAGCCAGCCCATGCCAAGGAGAGTCCTAAAATCCTGCATTTGTCCATTATCAACCAATGCAGAATAGGTCTTCTGTAAAGTTAATGGCTCTGAATTAGTCATTCAAGACCAGATCTCCCACAACTACTTTGCATTATAACAGAGTTGCAACAAGAGCAAATTTCTCAGGAAATCCATTTCTCTTCCAGCTAGTAAGGATTGCAGCTACACTTGAAAGGAAGGGGAAAGCTGCAGATGATGATATATATACAGTGGGGTCTCTACTTAAGAACTTAATCCGTATTGGAAGGTGGTTCTCAAGTTGAAAAGTTCTTATGTTGAATCTGCATTTCCCATAGGAATACATTGAAAACCATTTAATCCGTATCTGCTCTTTTCCGTCCATAGAAACTACAGTGGAACCTCTACTGAAGAACTTAATCCGTTTTGGACTGGTGTTCTTAAGTTGAAACGTTCTTAAGTTGAAGCTAAATTTCCCATAGGAATGGACTGAAAACCAATTAATCCGTTCTGGCTGTTTTGTTTTTTTTATGTAGAGGTGTGTTCGTAGATTGAAGCATTAGTTCCCATAGGAACTAATGCAAAGCTGGTTAATACGTACTCTACCACTAGGGGGAGAATTTTTTTTAACCTAAGATGACCTAAGGTTAAAAAAAGAGCAGGAAAGGATTTTTTTCCTGCTCTTATCTCGGATTTCTGTTCTCAAGTAGAAGCAAAATTTAGCAAATGGAGCTGTTCTTAAGTTGGATTGTTCTTAAGTAGAGACGTTCTTAAGTAGAGACCCCACTGTAATAATTCCTCCTACTTAGAAAGTCCTGGGCCTTTGAGCCTGAGATCTAGTTCTATTACCCTACTGCTTGTAGCAATACACTTAATGAATCATATGCAGGTAAGTATGAAGAAGTGGATTCTCTTGGTCAGTGTGTGCCTAAGGCTGGGGAGAACCACATTCAAACCCTACTCTGCCATAAAGCTCAGTGGATGATTCTGAGACAGTCAATGTATCATTGGACTAACCTCACACACTGGCATGTTGTAAAGACAGGAAAGGTTGGGAGGGTGTGTAAGTGAAATAAATGCATTTATTTTGTCTGTTCTGCATTTATAGCTAATCAATTACTTTGAACAAGTACAGTTCTTTTATTACAAGAGGCAAGAAAACTTCACTCTGCCCAGTTTTCCTCCTTTGCTGCCTCTCAGTGTGTCTTATTCAGCAACTAGGACAGAATCCATCTTCACAACAATCCTGTAAACTAGACAGTCAACAACGGCAA